GTCATGACCAATGACCCGAGTGTGACCTCCAGGATGCTCACCGGAGAAGGAGAGCACCGACTCCAATTTAGCCTCTGATTTCCTCACACGAGCACACCAGAGATTAATTAATTAACTAATGAACTCGTTCCCATAGTTATAATTTGGAGCCATCAAGACAGCTTGGCAAATAGAGGTGTGTGCCATCACGTCTGATGACAGAAGCCCACATAGAGGTGGGTGAGAACTGACTCCATACACTTACCATGGCACATGTGTGTACACACACACACACACACACACACACACACACACACACACAATAGTAAATGGTTTTTAAAAATTGTGAAACAAACTTATTTTGTCAAAGCTACATCTTAGTTGGACTGATTTAAACACAAATAAGGACTGAAAAGTGAAATGAACATTCTGCCTTAATCTTATTCTTCTGTTGACTAGAAATCAGGACAATTTTCATTTGTAAAAGGGTTGCATTGGAGAGATGAAGTCTTGGAATGAGAGCCATCCTAAAGCTTTAACCAGGAGATAAATTACAAAACAAAAACAAAAGTGCCTTTGTTTGTGTTTCATCAAAGCTGATTAAAGTGCATCCAATCAGAAGAACTGACTGCCACAGAATCACCTGAGCTGTAAATGCCACCAGCTTTAACAGCTATGAGCTCAGGCTGCTCTTCACTGGTCTCTGTGTCGTGCTTCATTGTAAACAAAATCTAGCTCCACCTTCAAAACTTAGCTAGGACTTTTTTCTTTGAGACACCAAAACTGGCAAAAATGGTTAACAAAGAAATAATCCTGGTTCACAATAATAAGTATATTACATGGTCATAGCTCTGAGACAGGTCCCTTTACAAAGACCTGGAACGTACCCTTTCCTGGAGATACCTGCAGTCCTGTGCAACTTTAGAAGCCCGAAAAACTGCCTTCACATCCACAAAGAACTGCTTCTCAAGGTATAAACACCAAGTCTGCGTGGCGATGGCGGACAGATGGTGAGAAGCAGCAAGCAGGGCCTCCTTCTCTTTGGTTGGCACATCTCCCTCTCTCAGTCACAGTGGAATGGGAGGGATGAGTTTTGCTCACTTACTGAGGGTGTGTACCTTGTTAAACCAACCTGAGTGACTGACAGAGAGTCAGCAACCAGAGTGGGCTCCTGAGAACACCACCAGAGGATGTGTACATTGGTCCAGCTGTGTCCTTGGAACAGAGAGCAGAGCTCCTTCTCAGTGGGAAACACCCACAATGCAACAAGGCACAGGGAAGGCAGAACTATTGAAAAAAATACCGTAGGGGACACAGCACTGCCATATTTGAGCTGGGTAGAGAGGAGGTGCACAGATTCTATGGCACACTACAGCTTCTTCCTGGTGCACTGTAACACAGGAGGAAATGACAAGGTGAGCCTTGTCAAGATGAGTAAAATGTGCTACTTTGTATTGGTAGAAAGAGAAATATGTGTGAAAATGGGTTTTTATGTTAGACTAAAAAATCAGAATGGGCCAATTTTCTTTATATGACTCACTTACCAGAGAACTAGGATTCGATGGCTTTATATATGGAAGGGGCTCAGTTAACCCCGTGGGCTGACTGAAACATGGGTGCTATGAGAGACTGCATTTAATAGCATTAGGTAGAGGCATAGACCAGAAGCCTTAAGAAAATCAGAATGATGAAACTGACTTATCATGTGTACCTTGTGCAATCATAATCCTGCTATTATTATATCCCCACAAGGGCCAGAGAATGCTTCTATCACCAAGGCTTCACTGTCATTTACTGGAGTGCTAGTACAGGGCATCAGGTATCCTGCCAATCACAAAACTCACCATACAAAATAACTTCTCTGTTGTTCCCTTACTAGCCCTTTGTACACAGTGCAGCTACTTAGTTATCTGCCTGTTTTTTATTTATTTAGATTTGTTTTTTTAATCATTCGTTGTCACTGTCTCTTTCACTAGAATATAGGTTACAGGAGAGCAAGGACTGCATCCTATTTGTTCATCACAGTATTTCAAATGCTTAGCATAGTACCATGTACACAGGCATTCAATAAGAGGTATTCAAAGTACCACCAAAGACACAGTTGTCCTTGTCAATATGAGATCCTGGACACAATCAGGAAAACACCATCCTCCCAAAAATAAGGTTTACATGTCGATTAAACCTTTTCATGGGAGTAGGAATGTAGCTCAATTGGTAGAGTATTTGCCTAGTATGCACTAAGGCTTGGGTTCAATTCCTAGATCCACTTTAACTGAGTGTGGTAGTGAACAGCAATCCTAGCACTCAGGAGACAGTGACAGGAGGGTCAGTCTCAAGTATATAGAATACTGGGCCAGTTTGAAATATATGAAGCTGTATCTCAACAACTTACCCTTATTTATAAATTACCTGTAATATATGTATTATGTATTTCATCAGCTTAGGACATGGTCTGCTGCTATAACTTCTATTTAAATGTGTATTTTGATCAGAAAATAAAAACAAAAACAAAATATTCCTTTTAATAAAGGTCAATTCAATGCCTGTCTTTTCTTCTATGAAAATACTTGAACAAGATGAAATTGCACCCAATATTCATGTTACCTTAAATTGTAAATTAACCAGATTCTCAAATATCATCAACTTGTATCTCTGGACCCACTCAACAAACTACATAAGTTGGCACACCTCTTAAGAATGCCCTAAGGTTGGGGCTGGAGAGATGGCTCAGAGGTTAAGAGCACCAACTTGCTCTTCCAGAGGTCCTGAGTTCAATTCCCAGCACCCACATGGTGGCTCACAACCATCTGTAATGAGATCTGGCACCCTCTTTTGTATACATAATAGATAAATCTTTAAAAAAAAAAAAAAAAGAATGCCCTAAGGTATCTTTGCTTACTAGCAAGGAAACTGTGAATTCACTCCTACCAACATTTCAAGATTCAACATTATAGTTAATCAAGCTTCCATTTTCTGGTTATGAATCTTTATTTGTAGCAGCTAGCAACTGCTTTCATTAAGACTGAATTTCTGTCCACACCACTCTTAGAGCATTCCCACCACTCTTAAGAGTTATTAATACTAAGCACTCAAGAATGAGACAGGACCTAGACCTAAGTACTAAGTTACATTCCTCCCCTCAGGAATTAATTCAAATTCACACTTCAGCAAAAATTGCAAATCAGTCCATGTCTTGATCCTTCAGAATTGCATTTATATAGCTGAAATCTTAAACATGAAAATGTCAAAAATCTACTAAATTCTACACATTAAGTGTTCAGTTTGTAAAGATTTGTGCTTACAATAAGGTTTAAAATGACTTATTTTTTTTGGAATTCCACATGCTTAACATTAGGAACCTCCAACTAAAGTTGGCTTTGGGGCTGGGGTGTAACTAGTGAAAGTACTTAGCCTTCGTGTGGCCCTGTGTTCCATCCTCAGCCCCCAAATCAAATCAGACTTGTTTTCTTACCTACAGACAAGTCTAATGTACAATCTGCTCACAGAGACTAGCTAGGGCAAGAGAAAAGTAACAAAAGCATGACCCTCACAGAGATGTGGGAAAAGGTGAGGAGGAGCCAACAAAGCACCGTGGAATGCTGAAAGTGGGTGATGGGTGTTAATAATCCTCTCATCTGAATGGAGCACTCTGTTAGCTGGTTTCTCAGAAGCCAGTAAAGCCATGGCATCACAGATGTAAACAGACATTGTAACCAACTACAGATGTAACTCATGTACCACTCCTCTTCGGAAGCCCAGGCTTTGTTTTGAGACTGGATCTTACGCTTCCTTGCCCAAAGCCATTTCTAGCTTCAGTTTCAGTTCGTTTAAGGCACAAAGGACCTTAGCACATGACACAACCAGAAACCAAATTTCTTTTACTTCTTACAAGTTTTCGAGTATTTTATACTTCATCTTAGTCATGCCAACTGCAAAGGAATTTCTGTGAGAACTTAGTTTTCAGAGCTAGCAACGTAGTTTTTAAATACATAACCCTCCTTTTTATAATAATACCTCATCATTACAGAATATGAACTCAGCATAAGTTCAGATACAAACACAACTCATTGTTAGCCAGCAAGAGTAAACCAATGTGACTGAACCAAGCATAAACATACAAGCATCACACATCACACCTCTAAGTGTGAGGTCTGTAGACAGTTAGCACACTGCTTTACCAAGGAAATGAACAGCACTGGCTAAAGATCTGCTTAGTTTAGTAAAATCAGCTAAGAGACCATTTGCATGTCAGAATTCAGGTACAGACAGTCTAGCTAACTAACATGAAAGATTACATGAAGCAGCTTCCCTGTCACATATGCTGGTTCCTGTCCCAGTGGATCTCAATCATATGCATCCGGTGTTTAGAAACACCGAAGTTCAAAATATTCCAGGACGTTTTTAAGATAAGGAATTTATTTTAGTAGAACATGATAAAATTTTACTCACAATTTAACTCTAAGTTCAACTAAACGTGTCATCAAAAGACATCTTAATCAAATCAAAATAGTTCTAAAATAATTTCATTAAGTTTTTGGAAGAGTAATAAAAATTTCTAAGTTAAAAAAAAATCATAGCCGGGCGGTGGTGGCGCACGCCTTTAATCCCAGCACTCGGGAGGCAGAGCCAGGCGGATCTCTGTGAGTTCGAGGCCAGCCTGGTCAACAGAGTGAGATCCAGGAAAGGTGCAAAGCTACACAGAGAAACCCTGTCTCGAAAAACAAAACAAAACAAAACAAAACAAAACAAAACAAAAATCATAATCTTAGCATTCAGGATGCAAACATAGAAGGATCCCACATTCAAAGCCGACATGCTATGTAACAAGTTCAAGGCTAAACAATGAGACTATCTCAATTTTTTTTAAATTTTATATTAGAAATTTAAGCCGTGTCATTAGAAATATGGAAGCTGCAGCATTTACTTACACTAAAGGAATGTGCTACTGGGCACCTGCTTGAAAAACTACTTAGACTGGCTGTACTACTTGGGTGATCTGGGCTTAAAATGTGAAAACTTACTGATTGCGCTGGAAACCTGATTCAGTTTATCCTGGGACCTGCTGATTAGGACGATCTTCATTCCACGCTTTGCTAACTGAAAACAATAAAAGAGATCTGAATTACATCTGTGAAGCGTATGCTAAAACAGAAATTAGATGTATTCCCATTTAAGAAAACCTCACCAGGTGGTCAGTCAAACTGAAAAAAACAAGTATCAGGAGCTGGTGATCCAAATGAACCCTGATTCCCCAGAACCTTCATTTCTAACCAAGCACTGATATCTTAAACCATTTGGAAGGATGGTGATTCCCACTTTTTATTTTAGGCCTAAATACATGGTGTGGACTTTTTTTTAAATTGCTACATGTCTATAACTTCTGTAATTTCAAATTTAGGATTTAAAATGTTGTCATAGGTTAGATACATAAAATAAATATCAGTGGGCCAAAAGAGAAAACTACAGCTAAAATGTTAGCAGTTCCCATAAATACAATCAATCTTAAAATGTGTATTTGGGACTTGGTGGTTAACTGTCGGCTTTACTGTTGACTACATTTATAATCGCCATGGAAGCATACTTCCCAGTGTATCTATGGGAATGGCTCTGGAAAAGTTTTACTAAGGAGAAAAGACCCACTCGAAATGTGGGCAGTTCCATGCCATGGGCTGGGGTTTGGGATTATTGTTAAAAAGATGAGCACAGTATTGCTAATTCTTGACGAAAGCTGTAGTAGACAACAGAGGTATAAGACATCACTGCCTGGGGGTCTTGCGGCCATGACCTCTCCACCTTGAACTGGAAGCCAGACTGAGCCTTCCGTAGGTTGCCTTTGTGGTTATTTTGTCAAAGGAATAAGTAACACAGGCATTAAAATGAAAGGGCAACCAAAGTAAAGTACATTAGCTACTGTTAATGAACAAATCAATACTGGATTTCTTGAAGAGAACCTTCTACGTACATATGTACACAATACCATGTAATGTTGCACAGAGTGAAAAACACTCACAGCGATGTATTCCTGTCATAGGGACACATAAATACGGAGGTAGAGAAAGAACACTAGAGGGCATAAAAGTTTGTACTGAACTACCAGACAATTTACAAATGAGCAACACTCGGGAGATGTGAAGTGTAAGTGATTCAGTACACTCACTCACAGTTATAAATCCTAAAGTCAGCTTTTATTAAGTAACAAGTAATATTGCAAATGAGGCTGTGGAAGATCATTTTTTATAAAAATAACAAGGCCTGGTAATTTGCTAAATTAATCTGCTATAAAACCACTAAAGAATCCATTAGCCCATATTGATACTTTAAGAAAAAAGAGAAACACATTAACAAAGGAGGAGGGGCAGGAAAAGCTCTTATTTATAGAAAAACACCAACTAGGCATGGTGGGTCATGGCTGTAATTCTAGAAAGAGGACTGCAATGAGCTTGTGGTCAGCCTGAGCTACATAATGTGTTCTAGACTAGCTTAGGCTACAGAGGAAGACATATATTAGAAAATCACTAAACTGTAACAGTAAACTAATTCAGGCAAAAATCATCAACAGGTGTGAAAAACACTGAACTAAAAATCAGCTAGAAAATAGGGTATATAGTCCCAAAGCATCACATCATATATTCCCCATTACTTTTATAATGAAGAACTGTGATAAATAACATCTTAATGAATTGTTTGCCTTAACACCATCAATAATGGAGCACATCGGTGTGTTGTGTCTCTTGATAGAATGAGGTCAGAAGAATTAATATCATTTTTATTACCATTTTTGTTAAATATGTTTACCCTGAATCTGATCATGAGGAGACAAATTCAATTTTGTCTGCAAAATAACGGGCTTGCATTTCTCCAAGTGTCACTTTTATAAGGAGCTGGAGAGTACATCTCAGTAGTAGAGCCCCTCCCTAGCACGATGCCTGGGGCCAGCAAGATGGCTCAGTGAGTAAAAGTACTTTTGCCACCAAGCCTGATGACTTGAATTTGATTCCAGGACCCATATGTTGGAATGAAAGAAATGGCTCCTCCCACAAGTTGTCCTCTGACTTTCACAAGCATGTTGTGGTATGCATGCAGCTACAAACACATAGACAAACAGTAAACGTGGGCTAGAGGGGTGGCTCAGCAGTTAAGAGTGCACTGCTCTTGCAGAGAACGCAAATTCACGTTGCAGCATGTATGTCAGGCTTCTTACAGCTGCCTGTAACTCTAGCTCCAGGAGATTCAATGCCCTCTTCTGCCTTCCTGTGTGGTATAAACACACACACACACACACACACACACACACACACACACACACACACACACAAAGAGAGAGAGAGAGAGAGAAGAGGCAAAGGATCTCTGTAAGTTTGAGGCTAGCCTGGCTCACATAGAGAGTTCCAGGCCAGCCAGGGCTACATAGTGATACTGTCTAAAAATAAATAAATAAAACAAAATAAATGTAATAAAATTGTAATCAAGGCTACTATTTAAGAGATTATTCTATTTTTTTCTTATTTTTAAAATAGACTCTGAAAATCACCTACCTCTTCTGCATACGATTTTCCAATTCCATCAGTGCCACCTGTAACAACTAAGAAAAGAGAAGAATAGTTTACTTTAAGAACTACAGCAAGGAAGTGGTCCAGCTAGAAATCACCAGCATGCCCAAGAACACTAGTACAATATTTGATGTGAAAGAGCAATATCCAGTGCTAGCTGTGAAGCTTAGTGGTAGAGCACAAGACTTCCCATGCACAAGGCCCTAGTTTCAATTCCTATTGTGGGATATTTGATTGCACTGTGACACTACAAAACTATATTAATAGTCTTTATTAAAAGTTAACCTTGAACCATGTAGAAGAGTCCATGACTAGCTGGTCAGAATTAGCCACAGAGAATCTGGAGAACCCATGGTGTGATACAACAGAGGCACAGGTAAGCTAGCACGGGGCTTAGAAAGATTCACTGGTCTTTTCGATCTGGGAAGGGGTGGAGAGTGTGTCAGGTGGTCATTTCTCTGCCACTTTCTTGATCTACCAGGTTTTTAATCCCTCTATCTGACTCCCGAGTTTTTATTAATAACAGAATAACTTAGATAATCACTTCAAATGCCTAGTGAAATAAATAGATAAATAAGCAACACCAGTACTCAAATTTAGAATTAACTGCCCATCACATCTCAAATTGAAAAGACCGAAATATCAAGTGTTGGTGAAGATATAAAGAAACGGAAGCTTTCATACCTTACCAGTAGTACCAGACTGACACAATAGTTTTGGAAAAACTATTCATCAGTATGTTCAGAACTAAAGATATGTTCGCCTTATGAACCAGCAATCCTCAAGAGAAGAGTGCTGGAGGTCTACCAAAAAGATGTCCGTGGGAGCTTTACTAGTGTTTGTGCTATATGCTAGTAAAACCTGAATACTGATCTACAGAAGAATAAGTAAGTAAACAGAAGTATAATGTATAAGTACAATGTATAGTTAACAGCAGCAAAATGAACTGTGATACACACAACACATGAATACAACATTACACTAAGTGAAAAACATGGAAGATATTCTTTTCCTAGTGCCACTCAAAGAAATGTACATTTACGAAGTGCCTGCTCAGCCACCATATTTCCAGAAGTTTTAAAATCTTTTTAGATTAAAAAGTAAACCAGGGAGCAAACCTTCACCTATGGCTCAGTAAACCAATGATCAACTTCATATTTTATTTATATTTTATTTAAAACAATTGTATCTGTGTGTGCGCATGTGTGTGCGTGTATGCATGAGTGGGAGTGTGTGTGTGAGAGGCACTGTGCACCGAGTGTCACAGTACATGTGTGGAGGTCAGAAGACAACTTTCAGAAATCAGCTCTCTCTTTCGACCAAGGGTTCTCAAGATTGAACTGAAGTTTGTCAGGCTTAGGAAAAGTGGGGAGGCCAATGCTTATCCACTGAGCTCAGATTTCAAAGTTAGTCCAAAAAAAACCCATGTTAATTCATGTCAAAAAAAATAAATATATAAAAAAGCAAAATTAGTCATCAAATTTCTACAATGGTCTCTGTCTCTTCCTCTCTCTTCCTTCTTCTCCCCCAACTCAATTTATTGTTGAACACCATGTATAACAGGTTTCTGATTTCTTAGTCTGCCATTTGCTGACTGCATTCCCCTGATACAACATAACATGTTCTTCTGTTCTTTGGTACATAGTTGGATATAGATACTTGACCGTGTTCACGTTTAATTTGTGTGTGTGTGTGTGTGTGTGTGCACGCATGCACACGCACATGCTCCATTAATTCCTATTAGGCTACAAAAGTGACATCTAAGTCCATAATTGCCTGAATATCTCCAAGGAATATCTCCACAGAACACCCTTCCTTCCCTAATTGGTTGCTATAACATAGAACTTGCATGTAAGTAAAAAAAAAAAAACATACTTAACTTCTTCTATTATCAGTTCTCAAAAGTGGCTGCCTGGTAATTTGCAGGGTAATCTGTTTTTATTGTTATAGCTTTGTAAACAACATTCATACATGGGCTCTACAACAATGTTTAAAACTATCTATACAAAATGACCAGCATGTGAAAGTCTCACCTCTTGTCTCTGGAGACCAGGGGTCCAGATTTCATCCTGTACTCTCTCCTGACACACCAACATGTCACAAGTCAAAGACAAGCAAATGTTAGCTATTTTCAACTCTCCCTTTTTTCTTCTCTTTCAGACTCTTCTGTTCTCTTCAAGATCTGAGACCCTCATTTTTACTTTGTTCCTTTCAAAGCCTTCTTCAGGCTCTATCAACTGCTCTGTTCCAGAACATTTAAGGCAAAAGAACCCTTTCTCGTCCCTCTGATGCCTATCCGTACTTTGCAAGGCTGTATGCCCTATAGCACTTCAACACTCTCAATGGGAATTGTACTGCTGTATTTTCCTGTGTGTTTTTATTGTGCATGCACAGTGGGAAGTCTTCAGGTCACTGACAATAGTAGGACTGCAGCCACTTCCTTTTCCTGTTTGCAACTGGGCCATGAATGACATGAGAGGTTTGCTATGCTACATGTCATGTCCTGCTATGGTGTGCTGCTCTCCCTCCAGAGCCCTAAAAGCAGTCAGACCACCCAGTCATAGCCAAGAACCCTCAAAACTGTGAACCAAAATAAACCTTTTCTCTGTTAAGATTTATTTTATTTCTGTAGGTGTATGCCTGTATGCCTGGTTCTCTGCATGTGCACCATGTGTAGATGCCAACAGAAGCCTGAAGAAGGTGTCAGATTCCCTAAAACTGGATAATTGTGAACGGCCCATTATGGGTGCTGGGAACTGAACCTTGGAACTGTACAAAAGCATCAAGTGCTCTTAACCAATGAGCCATATCTCCACTCACCTTCCCTCTTTATAAGCTGATGATATCAGGTATTTTGTTCTAGTAACAGAAAGCTGATTAATACAGTCAGCTCCCCCCTCCCAAAAGAGTTATCCATTCAATCCCCTTGTCAAGTCTTGCCTGCTGTCAATTCATGACCTACTATCTTCCAATAACTGCCCTCATCCAAAGACAGCCACTTTCTGTTCTAAACAATACATGTCTAAAATACTCAGGCATAAAAGTTGGACTCCTTGCCTCCAGCATCTGAAGGACCAAGGCTTCCAATAGTAGCATCTATGACTCTGCTAAGCCTACAGCTGTTTCACTTCTCTCTCCGTTCAATTCTGTTTCCTCCACTTTCCTTAGCACTGCCAACCCTGACAGCATTCTCAGTACACCTCGCACCACACACACATACACAAGTCAACATTCAAATCTGCTTCACCAGGAACTGGCCTCTGGCAGAGGTGAACTACTGACAGCATGCAAGGACTGATTTTCCTTCCATCTACATAACACAAGCAGTGGGGAAACCAGTTTTGAGAGGTTTACACTGGAACAGCACTGCCTTATACCATTTCTCTGTGCCCTATTACTCCACCTCCAGAAGCAACTGCTGCCACATTTTCCTTGTTTTTATCAACATTCTAGACCCTTTCTGCCATCTCCTGACCAACTGTTTTTAGTAGTAGACTTGTGGCTGATGAGAACTTCCCCACTCTTCTCATTCCCCATCCTCTCAATTAAGTTATACTGCAATGTTCTGTCAATAATTGGCATTTATTACTGGAACACTACAAATACATCCCTAGAGTAACCAGAATTTGATACAAAGCTGGGGGTGTAGCTCAGTGGTAAAACACTAAGCTAAGATACCAGGCCCTGGGTTCAAGCCCCTGCACTATACAAAGAAAAGCTGGGGTAAAACAGGGACAGTAGTATCTCTCACAGGTTGAAGGTTTGGTCCTCAACAAGACTACCTTCACTTCAGATAGACACCAATTTCAGAAGTCTCTGGCTAGCTTAATCAACTGACTATAATCTGGGGGATTTCCATAAGCACCTCAAGTTGGAAAATTCAAAATCTGTAGAACTCAGGCTACCTTCTAATTCACTTTATTGCAGAGGATACAAGTCAGTACCAACTGAAGGGCAGGCTGGGTAAGTAAGGTCTGAGATGGGCTCCCATGCAGTTTTCACCCCACCCCAGGGAAATAAATCAGAGCAAGGACATAGTCTTCCCAGTACATGCATGGCTTTCCCAACCAGGCTTTCCCACTCAGGTTCAGATTTCATTATAAACACACCAGAGGGACCCCAGTCCTTAACTCTCCTGCAGAAATCAGCGGTCTGCAGGTTGAGCCATTACCACTGTGCTCAAAGCTTCAACCTCTAATCACAGTCTTTCTAGCTTGAATATTCACTAGCCTCAACTTCCAAAGGCCCACCTAGAATAACAAAAATATAAGGATATGGGGGCTTCCACACGCCATCCTCCAACCAAGGACAAAAGTTAGTCAAGGTCTTTGTTACACTATCAGTATGGTTAAATATTCACAACTGAGCCAAACACTAGACTGTAATTACATTGCACTTCCCAGTCAACTTTCTATCTTTCCTGGACACAGCTGTCCCTCCCCCTTTATGTGGTTGGTCTTTTTAAATCCTCTTCCATCCCCTAATAGCCTCCTCGCTTTTGCTGTTGCTTGCTCCGTTAAGACAGGGTCTCATGGAGGCCCGACTGGCCTCACACTTGCTATGCAGGAGGATCTTCTGCTCCGCATGCCTATGCTTCCCTAGTGCTGAGGTCACAGGTAGATACAGCCCTGCTTTAACAACCTCCTGATAAAATTCTCCACACAATCGACCCCATTCCAGACCTTAGGAATGACCTTCCCAAAGCACTCCGGCTCTCCTCCTACTGCATGCACTCTGGACTACTTATTCTCTTAACCTGTTATACCAGAGGTGGAGGCACCCACCATCTTGGAATTATCTTGCCTTCCTCCTGTATTGAATGAAGCTCATGTTTTCTAGATCATGGTTCCCTGCCTCAGTATAATAGTACACTTGGCAGTATCTTCTCAAGGAAAACTGCATGGAGACACTTTAATAAACAGGTTTTAAAATACATTTTTAATTTTTTAGATACATAGTTTGTTGTTGTTTTTTTTGTTTGTTTGTTTTTTGTTTTGCTTTTTTTTGGGGGGGCGGGGAGTTTCGAGACAAG